GTCCTTGTCAGGGGCACTTCAGGACGGCTGGTGGGGCTGGTCTCTCTGGACACGGAGGTCTTGGAGGTGCTGCTGGCGGACGTGGCGGGGGTGGTCCTCCGCGTGGCCAGAGGTGGCACGGTTGGCTTTTTGTGGGTGAAGGCTGCCGGGAGGAAAGCGCAGGATGACTGACGGTGGGAGGGCAAGAGGTGGCAGGCAAGCGAGGCGGGCACTTCCCAGGCAAAAGCCCTCCTTGGGGACTTGGGGGGGCAGTGACTAGAAAGGCAGGACAGAGCCCCTCTGAGGTTTTAGAAAAACATAAAGGGGCAATGGCACTCAGTATTTTCCATCCCATTGCTGTTTTTCTTAGAGTATCAAGACACCCGGATGATCTGAATGGTGTATCCAAATAACTGAATTCCGTCTTTGTCTTTCTTGGGGCCCTGAGTGCAGAATAGGAGTGTCCAATTCTTTGTGTGTCCAAGGAACGTCAAATAATGTATTTTCAGCCTGCTCCAGACTGTGCTGGAAAGGGTCCATTGGAGAGCCGAGGCTATTTCACAGGCATAGGCCATAGAGGACTCTTAACTCTCTCTGAACCAGAGCACTCACCTGTTACTACTTTACTAGTTGGAGTCTTAGCTCTGGTTGGCTCCCTTGCTACAAAGAAAGGGATGAGAGAAAAGAATGGTTGAGTCCTGGGAAGGTGCCTAAGGAAAGCATGTTCTGGCATCTCCTCAAAGGAGGGTGCTCTTGTCAGCATCAAGAAAACCTGGACCTGGGGAGCCCAACTAGTCTGAGTGTGAGAGGTTTGGCTGGAGTGTGAATGTGCATCTGCCTGCCCACCCTCCATGGATGACTTCTCTACAGTGTTGGTCAGCATCTGGCATCGTTAGCTAGGGGGTAGAGAGTTGCTGTTTTTTGGCCAGTGCTTGTCAAGGGGGTTTCAGGACGTGGGCTTCCCTTTCTCAAGGGCTTGTCTTGGCCTCTGTCCTTTGTTTTGTATTTCCCCAAACTGTCCTGAACTTCCCAGAACCGTGTTGAGCTGAAAACACGATGTGCCTTTCCCCTCTCATTGCCTTCTCTTCCCTTCCCTCCGTATACTAAGGACAGCACGACAAGGGAAAGTCCTGGGTGTCAGCTAGCATCTCGATGCTGGCTGCAAGGGAAGGAGCTGGGCAGGGTCTCTACCCAAAAGAAGGCCTGTGTCCCAGCAAAAGACCCCGAACGGTCCGGGGCACAGGACGCAGTCAGGGGCAATGCGTGGGTGGGCCAGGCCCTGGACCCTTCCAGGTCCAAGGCGGCCCGATGCCAACGGCAAGGCAACGCAGCACGACTACGCTAACAGAGGCCCCGGTGGGACGTGCTGCTCGGGAGAGGAGGGCGGGAGCTGCAAAGAGCCGGCAGAGCAGCAGGAAGGACAGGAGCGAGACTTACCGGGATGCGACGGGCTTGGCGGGGTTGAGGACACAGTTGAGGAGGGGGAAGCAGCAGGTGACGGGAGGGGGCTGGTTTTGGCCGTGGAGGGCGCGGAGGACTCGGGCGGAAGCGTCTCTCTTGAAACGCTGGTCGTCGGGGGAGAGGCCTTGGACGTTAGGGTCGTCCAAGTGGGCTTTGGCCTGGTCGTCGTGGGAGACTCGGTCGAGACTGTGGACGGGGCGGCAAACGGCAGCCTGGTGCTGAGCGGCGTGCTGGAGGCCGAGGTGGTGGGGGGAGAGCTGGGGAGCCGAGTCGTCCTTGTCAGGGGCACTTCAGGACGGCTGGTGGGGCTGGTCTCTCTGGACACGGAGGTCTTGGAGGTGCTGCTGGCGGACGTGGCGGGGGTGGTCCTCCGCGTGGCCAGAGGTGGCACGGTTGGCTTTTTGTGGGTGAAGGCTGCCGGGAGGAAAGCGCAGGATGACTGACGGTGGGAGGGCAAGAGGTGGCAGGCAAGCGAGGCGGGCACTTCCCAGGCAAAAGCCCTCCTTGGGGACTTGGGGGGGCAGTGACTAGAAAGGCAGGACTGGGCCCCTCCGAGTCTTGGGAGGCACCGCGGGAGGAATGGGGCAACGGCCCCAGCCATTGCTCCTCCCCCAAAACACAGGGCAGGGACTGGGCCTGAAGGATGCCCGGCAACAAGTGAGCTCCTTCTGCCTCTTCCTGGAACAGGATCCTGGGCAAGGAAGAAGAGTCTCCATGGGCTTGTGGGTCTCCTTCCAAGCAGCACGGAGAGGGTACTGTTCCTCTCGGCTGGGTGAGGAAGCACCATAAGGCTGGCTAAGGTAGGCACTGATATATGCCTTTATTGACTCTTTCCACCCTCCCAACCAGACCACTCACCTATTTGGGACTCAGTGGTGTAGAGCATGGCTTGGGCTCCTTGCTAAGAAGGCTGGGATGGGTAAGAACAGTAAAGCCCTGGGAAGGCACTTAGGCATAATAGAAAGTGACACTTCCTCAAAGGAAGCTGTCATTATTGGGAAAGGAACACCTGTATGCAGGCACCCCAGCAGGACTAGGTAGAAGAAATGTGGACTGGGAGAGACTGAGCACCTGTCTTCCCACTGTAGCTGACTTCCCTGCATTGCGTACCGGCCTCTGGCATCACTTCCTAGCCCAAGCAAAATAAGTTGTGATACAGCTTCCATGCAGTCTGTCCTTGTTGGCATATGAAGAACATGACACCCTAACATGTAATTTCCTTTTTTTTGTAGATAGGATTTGTGTTTTTGGGAGAAGTTGTTTCAATAGCTAGGGGGAATACTTATTCTGCCATATGTGAGTTTTCAAGAAGGTATGTCACTTTGTGGCAGAGATTTTTCCCAAATACGGAGGATTTGGAATTGTGGGTATGGTGTCTAAGAGAATTGTTAGGTTTAAGATGGTATTTGCATGTTGGACGCCGGTTCCATTGGCAAGACACTGAAATTTCCATGTTTGTATTTTTTGTTCAGTCATCCATGTCTTTTCCTATGTATTTGCAATTTTAAGACATCTAGTAAGAATAACTTTTGTTTCTTAATAGGAATCTACTGACATGCTCTGCCTGATGGCTTCACCTGGTAGACATAAAAAGGTGATATTTACCTAGTGTTATTAGTTTAGGCCTGGTGAAAGTTGCGATCTGAGATGTAGCATGAACAGGTATTGATGTGGTGGTTGTTTTCCTTTTGATAGTGGTCTTGATGGATGGTGTGGTAAACCTTACTTTTTCTGTCTCTTTTGATATGGCAGTAGGCGTAGGCTTCAGTTTCATGGTCATGGCTCTTTTTGCTGAGGTAGTTATGGAAGGTGTAGTAATTGTGGTCATGGTTGGTGTGATAAAAACTGATGTTGTAAGTTCTTTTGGGGTAAAGAATATAATGTGAGTAATCAATGTATTTAATAATTAAAAATAGATAAATTATGGAGAAGCTAAACTTATTCCAGGGACCCAATTTTCATCCTTAATATTTTTAACATTTTCTCTGTAATTGTTTGTATTTATGTTCTCATAATCTTACCAAATCTTTTTCTTCTCATATTTATTTTCTCATATCTTATATCTTTCTTTCTTCTCAATTTCTTTTTCCTGTGCTAGATTATTTTTCATAAAAATTTATAAGAAGCTAGTTTCATTATCACTCATTCACTTTGGTCTTTTCCCAAAGGATACTTTAATTGGCTAATCTTATGTTCTAAACTGGTTGCTGTTTCAACTTTTAAATTTGTATTATAAGGCCAAAGAACATCATAATATTCATCTGGCACAATGCCAGCCTTTGAAGCCGTGTTTTGACTCCTGTAGGACCGCCTTTTTTACCTCTGCTTTCCCTGATGGCCTGGTGATAAGGATGACTTACTAGTTGAACTGTATGTTATTGTGAAGTCTCATGCTATTATGAGTCTGCACAAGCCACAGAATCAGAAAATAGTTTATACTGGAGAAGTCATCTGGTCAAAGCCCCTGCTGAGAGCAACACCAAATTTAAGATAGATCCAGTCCAGCGCTTCTGGAGCCTAGAATCCTGTATAAAGTCACTGCACTGTTACCTGTCTGATTCTGCCTTGGAGCTTGCTTAAGTCATTCAGTGTTAATAGCTCGAGTGTTACTTGAACATGACTGTGCTATTGAACTGGTTATGAAAAGTGCACATGTATCAGGCTGAAGCTGAGCTAATAAATCCAAATGGAGCTGAGCTGGTTTCTTGTTTATGGAACTCATAATGTGCTTCCCAGGTAAGAGTCACACAGATAAATGATTTTTGGCTGTATTTTTAATCTATAGTCTGTATCCTTTCTCCTTCCACTCAACTTCTGCCTACACTTCAGAACATTTCTGGTTTATCCTGCTTCTCACAAACTCCTTTCTGGAAGCCTGCCTTGTCTACTTCATGATCTGCACTCTTGTTCTTGGGTGTTGAGCTAGCTTGCACTGTTCTCCTAGTACACTGATTTCTTAACTATGCATAGAATGGATTTATTAATTGGTTTTAGACAGTAATACTAACAACCTACCTGTTGTTGACTTTATCGTAACAAGAGGTGATGCTGATGAAGTTCTTGGAATTGTGATTTTTGACGTTATTGTTGGATTAGTGCTCTCTGTTGATATAGTAGCTGCAGAAGAAGTAGTCAGTGCTGTTGGCAGGGTAGTCATGGGTATTGTGACAGCAGTAGAGCTTCTTGTTACTTTAGGCTGCACTGTTCTTACTAAGAGAAGAAAAAAAATCAAAATGCAAGGCTAAGAAATAATTCTTAATAATCCATTAAAAATATTTTGGAAGTATTTACTAAAGGTAGTGTTGTAACAACTTGTAATAACTACCTTCATTTTAAAAGAAAAATTTGAGATAATTTATATAGGTATCCCTTTTGTTATTATTGTCAGTCAATACATTGAACATGAACTCTAACAGAAGCTTTTTACATTTTTTTCATCCCTTTAAAGTGATTTTGGTGTGCATATTAAGAGAGATGGAATTGTGTAATTAGCATTTCATAATTCAGGCAGCTGACAGTATAACTTTTTCCCTAGCCCTTCCAGTGGCCAGTACAAAAATACCACTTGTCTTCAGGGAAATTAATGGAATTCCTAGCAAATTTAGGATCAGCATATACAGACTCCTTTCCTGGGTCAGGCTATTGGGGCTTGGTATACTTAGTCATAAGTTTCAATGAAGACCTTCTTAAAATGTCAGATTGTTATATTGCCAGTTACCACTATGAACTAGGCCGAAATTTTTGTGGGATATTTGGTTACTGATATTCGGAAGTGCCTAAATATACTCAAGAAACATTGTTCTCTCAATCATTTTCTTTCGCAATTTAAGATGTCTAACATATTTCTGGGAAAATGTTTTTGATAATTGTGATACTGAGATATTTTTCATTATTGAGCCTTATGCATATGAAACTGGTGAAGTCATTTTATCAAGCCAGAAAGGGTTTTGCTTACCTCAGAAGCATGTAATAGGACATGTATCAGCGTTTAAGAACTAGTTTAGTCACTGACTTAAACTAACCTGTTGAAGGTGAAGGTGTCTCCAGTGTAGTACTAGTACTTTTTTCTCCTGTTGTGTAAAGGTAGAACAGGTTAAATGTGTGAATTAATTAAAACATACTAAAAACAGTGGCAAATTTCAGATCAGAAGGTAAATAAACTACATTCAAAGTACTGTGTTAATTAGTGAGGTATTCATGAAAATGCTTACTGTTGTAGTTCAGTGTTAAACTTCACCTCAGAATAATTAAACAGTGGTAAGAAATCAATACACCTCACAGCAATCATCAACATAAGCATGTTTTCACTGTCTTTGTTATGATTTTCATGCTTAAGGGCAGTCTCACTTTTCAGGGATAATGGAAACAGGTTTTCTGTATGTAAGTGAGGTCACTAACTGTCCCAGGACACAGGTTAGAATTCTGTAACACGAAAAAAATTGGCCTTAAGTTTTTTTACATCTGCATGAAACTCCAAACTGTGCAGCTGCAGTCTATCCATAACATTATATCATCAGCCAGGTTTTCATAGCAGTACACTGTCTGCTAGTAAATCATGAGATAAAATAATGTATCTTAGGGAGTTGCTAAGTAGAGTTCATTAGCTAGATCCTGTTCCAGATGTTCCTTTTGTTTAAGAAGGATGTTGAATGTATCTGGGACATACATCTCTGCTGGGATGGCCCATCACGCACATCAGAACATCAGTATACTTTCAGGAACACTCACATTTTGAAAAGTACTGACATTTACACTGAAGGCAATTTTTCATCTTGCTAAATAAATCAACCAGGGTGATCCAACTCCTGTATTATAGCACTCCCTAGCCTAATCTTTTTTTTTTTTTTTTAAAGTTATTTTCCTTCCATTGTTTATCAACCAAAGTTTTACATAATAGAAGTACAGCAATACAGTTATTTCAAAGGGGAATTATGTCTGAATTAATCATGAGGTATTAGGAAAAATATTTTCCTTGAGAATATGCAGTGGTTTTAGTATTATTTTCTAGTTGTTGTAGAGAAAGAGGGTGAGTATATAGGCCTCTGCTTACCACACGGCATGCATTGTCCCTTCTCATGGTCAAAGTATTCATCATGAGAACAGTTGTAACAGCCTGAAGAAAGGAAGATAGTTTTGTTTTACATTTCTCAGAGAACAGCATTTCATTTGTACCATTTATAATCTAATTTCTTGCACTTCTGTTATTAAAAATTGTATTGCTTATAACATATATTAAGGTAAGCACTCTCAATGTCATCCTCTGAAGAAGGGTCTGCATACATAATAACTTTTTTTGTTTTCTTCAATTATATCCACTGTCTAATAAAAATATTATCTCTCCCTCCACATATTTTCTTACCTAAGGACAGTATATACACTTAACTGGTACAAATTAGAGGATTCCTCTTCAAGATAGGCTGAGCTCAATACAAAGCTAAATGTAATACAGGTACTATATCAATTATGTATTAACATTGTAGTAGTAATGTAAAGATTAGCAAAAACTGCCTCAACGATAACATTCATTAGAACACTGCTAACTGTGGTATGACTGCTTAAAACAATAGCAGTAAAAATAATTATCTTACTGTTTCCTGGTTTACAACAGTATAGATTATTACCTTCAATGTTGACATATTTGTAGTTTTGATTTGGACAGTTACACGGTCTGTAGTGCCAGGTGCAGTTGTCATTGCTGTAGTCATAAGAATAAACATCCTCACTTCCTGATTTTGTATGAGAATTGTAATAGTCACAATAGACAGCTAAAAAAAAAGCGGGGTGGCAAAACAGGAGAAAAGTTTAAATTTTTCAATTAGTGATGTATGCTTTCTTGAAGGCCTAGGAACAGGGAGGACAAAATTAATCAACAGTGTTTGAGCCAAAAATTTTGTCCTTGAAGTAATCACCTGTGATGCAAACTGAAATTTATGCTCCAGTGATGTGAGTCTATCTTTTTTGCAAATCTACTGGGCAGGCATTTCTATACAATTTTTATGCATAATATAGTGACATATTGAAAAGAAACCATCAAAGATGGCAACTCCCAGCACTGATTTACAACTCTAATCCTTTTTTTTCCCCCCCATGTACAGTGTTCTGGAACACATCGCTATTTTCTCCTTTTTTCAGGGTTCTGGCCAACACAGCTGTTTTTATTTCCTTGAAATCCACATAGAAAGTGATTTCATCATAGCTAAAACAAATACACACATATTTTTCACAGTTTCATATTCCCTCCCTCAAATTGACTTGTTCACTCTACAGCTGCAGCAGGAGAAATATACTGCCTTTCGTGACTGCTTTGTTTTCTCTCTTATTGCTCCGTGATAAAGAATGAACATCATATTTTGGTTAATTTATTACTAATGAAAAGTGCAAAGTTCAAAACCCAGGTGACAAAAGTCAACTATTTGTCCATAGAGAAAACACAACTTCAGAGGTACTTATATAAGCAATTCCCTACATTGCTGTATTAATATACTCATAGTAATAACAATTGTCTCTTAAACCTCCTTATTTTTGGACCAAGTAAAAATCATACTAAAAGTAAAAAGCTATCAATATACATCACATGAACCTATTTAAAGACAGCTTAAAGAAACTCACGACAGAACTCTGGCGTCCTCCAGTCAATGCAGAGACCTTTATCTAAGCATGCCATGGCATACACTGCAATGGCATCACACATGCATTCACAATCCCCTCCAAGGTCACAACCACAAGAGTCTCGGACACAGGCCTCATAATAGGGCATACGGTTCACCTGTGTTGGAAAATTAAGTAATGAAAATTCTAAGATTCTTTTGTTCCTGTCTATTTGTTAAGAAGGTGTTTTCCTGGGCTAAACAATACCTGCTAGTTCAGGGGAAAGTGAAGTGCACTTGTTCCATTAAGTGAGAGTAGCTAGTGTTTCCTCTAAACACTAAAATAATCAAAGCAATAACACAGTCCCACCTCAGACAACCATTTTTAGTAAGAATGTAGGTCCCTGCAAACTAACAATACAAACTGATGATATTTTGCTGGATATTAACTTCTAAATTCATACTGATCTTGAACACATTATGTGTAGTCAACTAGAAAACCCTACATTCATTCAGGCATAAATGTGCAAATTCATCAGCAGTACACCCTCCACAGATAGGCATGACCACTGCAGCATTACTCATGTTTCTCACTTGTGTTCACTTCTAGAAAATGGAGATTTTCCTTCTGAAGGCCTGGTTCTGATGAATCTTGCGATATTTTCATCCACAAAGTGGGTAACTTAAAACAAATAGAAGGGCTGATGATATCTTGCTCTTGGATTTCCATCTCCTGCATCTTCTAAATAATGCTGCTGATTTACTAATGAGAACAATGTCGGGGGGTGGTTTGTGTTTGCTTTTGTAACAAAGCCCGAATGGTTTCGGAAGGAGTAAACAGTGTATTGAGCAGTGTCAGGAGGCATCAACGGACTGATTTCTGATACTAAAGTCTTCATTATTTTTTTCATTCTAATATTTTGATTATTCAGTTAATACCATACTTAGCTTTTGTGCTAACGAAAGGGCTGGTGAAGTGCCAATACAGAAGGATTAAGATTAATGAGAGCCAGAATACATTTCATATATGTATTATTAAAATATTTTGGGAAAAAGAAAATCAAATGCTGGAGCATGAGCAAATACTGTTTGGCAGACTGCAGATTACGCCTATAAATAAAGAGAAAGCCAAAGCAATTCCTACCTTATTGTGACAGGCAGAAAAAACTTGGCTGTTGATGATGGAACACGTCTTTTCTGCCCAGGCTTTACGGTAAGGGTTTTTGCTACAGGGGTCCACAACAAAGTATACATCCCCACAGAGAGGATTCTCTTTCCAAGAATTGACAAACTCCAATTCATTTGATGCCACATACTTGCTTCGGGTTTCAAAATCATCTTTCATATTGCCATTGTAGTTCCCACACAAACCACATATAGTTTCCTAGACGGAATGAAAGCATTAATGTCAGTTGAGCGAGTTACAGTCACTTGCCTTCCCTCTTTACTATTGTTGTTGCTTGCTGTGTTTCACTAGTGACTGTGATCTACAAATACTCTCATATGTTGGTAAAGTCTTGTGCATGAAGTCCTGTTCATCAGTGGATGAACGTGTTTTTCCTCTCAAGTGTAATCTGCCATAATTTAGAGATAAAATTCAACCAAAATATGTTGTTATTTACCGCACAAGCTCTTAGCCCAAAGATCCCGCTTATGTAGCAGGGTAATTGATTAGTAATCTGTCTTGACTGAAAACCTCTCCTGTTTTGGAGATAATGGTGAGTAGAAAATAAATCACCAGTGGCTTCTCTGAAAAACTTTGCCATCACAGAGTTGAGACAACTGGAATCAAACGGGCAGTTCAATCTGAATTGAAGGACAGTTTACTGAGGAAGTAATTCTTCAGTACCTGTGTTTCTCTGGAGATCTTGATGAAGAAGTTCATGTGCTTGTTCCAGATAAGGGTCATGTTGTATTTTCCTGGGATAATGATGTCGAACATCAGGTGAAGGGCATTCTTTTTCACATTATATCGCACTAGAGGATTTTCCCCAGAAACAGAGAAGGTTTCATCTCGTAGTACGAATGTCAAGTTCTGAAAGAAAATTTTCCCGGATATTGTAACTTACCAAGTTCTGTTATTTTCCATACTCTCCCTATGACATTACTAAAAATGTTGTGCCACTACAAATTGTCTTGTCATTCCCACTTATCTTATGGTAGCCAGATGCTGCAGAATAATGTATTATCGGTGGTGATGTAGATCTTACAGGATAAGTGAGTTTCCTCGGGTGGTCGTCGTATCTCAAAATAACTGGATTTTTTTCCTTGAACTTATTTTTTATGCATATACAAGTTTTGATGAGAAATACACACAAAAAATCTGTCACTGCTATACTCTCATTGTTAGATGCAGTAGCTTTCTGATTGCATTTGGTGGAAATAATATTGACATCTATATGTAGCCAGAAGAGGTAAAGAAGTCTGTTTCCATGTGTTCTTAGGAATAAATTAAATGTTACAGAGAGAAATTAGCTGTCTCACTTGCATATTTTCACTGTCTCCTGATCTCATTTGTACTCTTACATCTTTTCTCCTGTCATATTGTGGTGTTTCAACTGTCTAGATGGCCAACAGAAAGATCTGTCTGGATCATGCACTTACAAAACTGTATGCAAAGAAAACAACAAACTTTTCCAGCACAGCACTGACCAGCTGACACTGCTGGTCCTACTCAGAAAAGTGGCAAATGTGCATTACCTGCAGTGACCGTTCCTTAGGATAAAAATCTCATCTGACCATATTCTTTCTGTCTGATAATGAAGAACTCTGAGATGATCTGATACTGAGGGGCATTACTGTCCCATAGAGCTGAGAATGGCAAAACCAATCTGCTTTTAGAATTTCTCAGACAAAACGGAAATGAAGATAACTGCTCATTGCTGTAGCTTCACAAATGTATCTTGGGTAAGTTAGTAGAGATCTGGAGATATTTTGAAAAAGCAGGTATTACCTGGGCTTAGAGAAATTTGGAGAGGTTTTGCCCATCATCCATGACGAGAATTCCTTCATTTTATATTATTGTTTCCCTGACTGAGTCTGGGGGAAAAATTAGTTATCTTTTGACTGAGTGATTCACCATTAAGTGGGTAAGTTCAAAATTTTATGGCTTCTAGGTAGACCAGAAATCCAAGGATGGAAACACTGAGATGAGAATTAAAAAAAAAAAAAAAAGATGGTAGTTCCTACTAACACTGAAGCTCTAGCTTAAGCACGTTAACTTTGCTTACAAGGCATCACTTACAAGACACAGATAAAGTTTCCAAAAGTGAAGCATATGTGGTCTTAAAAGGCTATTCAGCTGGATAACAGTTGAATGAGGATCTTACCCCAAGGTAAATGCTGATGGATCTGGAGCAGGTAACCCCTGATTTCCCACAGATGACATTCTCAGTAACAATTTTAAAGGAGGAAAGGGGTCTATTAACACTGCAGCTATCCTAAAAAAAAAAAAAAAAAAAAAGACTCTGTGCCTGGAGTCTTCAAAGTTAAAACAGAAGAAAAGAAAGCTTAAACATGCCATAACTGTGATTCTGCCTTTCAGCATAGCAGGCAGTCTTTATTTTATATCCTCATTCTCATGTGAGAGAGAGCTTATCTGTGGCTGTCTTAAAATCCACTGCTGGTTGTTAATAGAGAGGTTCTAGGATATCTTATGGCTTTGGCAGCTGAAGAATTTTATTTCTTTCAGAACCTGCATCTTTGTATGGAGAAAGGAAAGAGTCAATGGAGTATTATGCTTTAGCAATTTTTTTTTTTTTTGGAGATAGCAGTGACGACCTCTGATTTGGTAGTCAAACTGACAACACTCTGCTGAAAGATATACTTGGCTGGAACATAATGGGTACTCATCAGTGACTATTCAAACATGTTAGTATATTTAAAATGCTTGCAATTTCATGAAAAACATACATCTTGAGAAGTAAAGGCTTTTGATCTTAAGTTTTGAAATAAATAGAAAATATTAAAAAATGTAACTGTATATAAAGACTCAAAGTGCTCTATTGAATACAGATGCTTCCTAGGATATTTCCATCAGCCATTTAAATACAGCTATTTCTTGATGCTAAGATACTGCCAAAAGAAGTATCCAAAAGACATTACCATGGCTAGTATGTATTCACAGTTGCCATCAAACACAAAGCGCTGTCCATCAAAAGTGGTAATGTGGCCTTCTCCATAGAGATTACATGTTGAGGAACATCTAGATTTCTGAACACATTTCCATTTGCCTCTCGTGCAAGTGCTGGGAGTGAGAAGAAAAATCATGCTCAGATTTCAAGATTTCAAAGGCATGCCACCTTAACACTTCTTTCTACATGCATGCATTTTCATAGGTAAGACATTTATTTAATCGCCTTATGTACACTCTAACCAAGTTACAGTTAATAAAGGGACCATACCTAAAAGTTAGGGACTGCTGAGAAAATTAATGCATGTTAAAGAAGAAATCTTAATTCAGTTTTTGCCTTCTTTTTTCATTAAAGAAATAACATTAAGCTCACTTTGTTGTTGTTGTTACTAAGAATAGATGTCACTGTCCTGTGTAGTTTGAGTGGT